CGATCGTGATAAAATATTGTGTGGTTCGTAGAGCCTAAAACTAAGCTCTCACCCGCCATCTGTACGGCCTGTCTAATCAGTAGTTCTCTTGTACATGTATTTATTCTGAAGCCACGAAATCTATTGTTTAGCGGAAGCAATGTTTTCTACATTCTTCCCCGGACATGTCAATAAATGCTTATATTGTTTCAACATATTGTGATTACTTCGTTCGCGTTTCGTCTGGCGATCTATATCTTTGTGAGCATTTTCAAATGACGGTTTGGTGTCAGCCAAAGTTCACCCTACCCTATAGTGGCAGAGCCATCTCTCTTTCACTCTTTCTAGAGTAGCAGACCCGCTATTTTACGTTACCTAGATGCAGAGTCGCCTTTGTTTCACACTATCTAGAATGCAGATGCCGCCTTTGTTTAACGCTATCTTAGAATGGCAGAGCGCGCCGTTCGTTTCACGGCTATCTTAGAAGTAGCCAGAGCGCTGCCTTTCTTTCACGCCTACCTGAATGGGCAGAGCCTTTCTCTTTGCAGCTGTTGTTGACAGGTGGTACGGAGGAGGATGGTCGTCCGGTGGCATTTGTTCAATTCGCCTAATAATTAAGGACATCACACAATCAGAACAGTTCACGCAAATATGTAAAGTATGTTTCTTTTTGGTTTTTTTAAAGATTTTTTTTCCGTTTTCCAAAGGGCATTTTCGCTCGGCCGCGTTAAGAAACAAGTATTAAAGACATTTTAAGCAGAGTAAGGGATAATAGTGCATGACAGCGGTGTATCACTGTACATTATGCGATACTCGACTTCTGATTCATCCCGATGAATATATATTAATGAGTATATCATAATATTTTCATAGTTAGAAGACGAGTCATGTGGGCGAGACATTTATGGTGCCACTATGCATTAATGAGACTGCAACATTACATAACAGTTGATGTGAAGAAAACTCGATCTAAACTATGTTAAAAAGTATATCGATATATATATATATAAACTATATATGATACAGTATTATCGATTCTTCTTACATACTGTTACTCTTTACGATTTCGCCGAGATTTAAGATAACGGTAGTTGGAGTACACAGTAAGAGACGGCGCTCTCCGATCGCACACTAAACCACCCACGTACGCGCGCTACTATTCAGGCGATGAGCTGAGGTCTGGCACAAGACTCCATAATATGCAAGAACAATATTATAATAGTATAAAAAAAGATAATGCGGAATTCGAAGAGATCCTCTTAAAAACTTAATATAATGAAAGTATCCCGTAATTTGACTACTATATGATCGGCCGTCATTATAATTGATCAGCTGTGTCTGCTCTGGCCTGCGCGATAACGCGCTCCTCTTGCGTCGCGAATATACGAACCGGGAAGCGATCGGCCATTCGAACGATTGCATTGATCGAAAGTTCGGTGTGCTTGTAGAGCTTCTGTCAGCAGCGCGCCTGGCAGGGGAGTTCACGATACGCGGCCGTAGTTCGGCAGCGTACGTTGGTTTTTCTGACGTCCAGGTCTCCGCTGTTATAGCTGATCGAAGAGGTAATATATATATATTATTATTATATATATATATATATATATAGAGAGAGAGAGAGAGAGAGAGAGACGAGCGAGACGAGATGTGGGAGAGAGAGGAGAGAGAGGAGAGAGGCGAGAGATAGGGAGAGAGAGAGAGAGAGAGATGAGAGAGAGAGGAGAAGAAGCACGAGAGAGATGAGAGAGAGAGGATCAGACGCGAGAGAGAGGAGCGCGATCTGGAGAGCTGAGAGCTACGGATTAAGAGGGAGAGTGGAGGAGAGCAGAGACCTGACGAGATCCGCGAAGGAGCCCGGAAGAGAGAGAGAGAGAGAGAAAGAGAATTGATGAGCACGGCCGGGAGACGGAGCCAGAGAAGAGAGAGCTGACCTGTGCCAGCGTGAGTGAGAGAAAAGCATACGAGAGGACAGCGCACCTCACGTGTAGCTACCTCTGGGGCAGCAGAGCTCGTTCAGTAAATATTTTGACGAGATCGCCTCCTAATTATAGGCCCCTGTACCCAGCCCACACTGCATCCCAGCGCCTAGCAGCACGCCGACTGGGTGAGAGCGCCGGGCGCCATCATACTATAGATGGTCAGCTTAGCATCTTCGGATAGATTATATACGTTACAGACATCAGCGTTAGGACACATTTCGCCCATCTATTGGCTGTTTTAGATTTTATGAGTGTAACCGGTCAGTCGTGAAACCTGGGCACACCTTCCATCTACTAATGAAGTGACGAGACCGTAGCATCTAGTTTTATGTATTCATTACTTCTGTACCGCCGGATGATGTCCTCATTTATATGAAAAGTATAATTTCAACTAATTACTGTTTCGGATTTAATAATGACGAGCGCAACACAAGTCTCTTATAATTGATGATTCATAAAGTGCCAGAACTCCGAGATGGAGAGATTTTTTATGCCTAAAATACTGTTGGGCATTCGCTCTCTACAATTAAAAAGTATAATTGATACAAAAACCCCGGTTTCATATATATATAGGCCTATGTTATTATTAAATATGAGATAGAGATTAGTCACGTTAGGTTGTGAATATCATGCGCAGATTATCGCCATCTGTGGCTGATTTAGGATTTTCAGTAGTGTTACATCGCCTTATTATATATTAAGAAGAGAAATCATCAGTGACTTTTTTTATTTATCAGCTACTACATTTACAGTTTTCTCTAAGCTGCTTAAATAATCCACCACCCACTCATCCTCACACCGAGACAAAACAAAAATAACAAAGAAGACTCTCACTCAGTGCATGACAGGTTGACAGTAACTTGCAGACACGTCGCTGTCGACTCGAGCTCTTGCGCAACCTCGAGCGAGACTGCGGGTGACCCGTAGTGCCGTAGTTCACACACATCTCCGTCGTTGCCCCGAGCTCCCTGGCAACTGAGAGCCACGCAACGCGCCCACGCACGCTGCGCGGCTAATATTTTCACACATCCCCACTTCCCCCTCTCCGTTCACCACCATGTTTTGACCTGTGGTATCGCAAAGTTTTAGTGCGCTGAATGAGAGATTGAATTCCGCAACTATTCGCGCAAACAATTTTCCGCACTATTCAACAACTTCGTCGGGCACGGCTATATATCCGTCGCGTCGCCATGTCCCGGAACGTCGCTTCTCATGTACGATCGTCCCTGCTATCGTCGTTGCGCACTGTCGTCAAACGTCGTTCCGCACGCTTCCTCGGGCAACGTCGACCTTCCTATGTTACGTTCGGTTCACTGCCCTATCGTCGTGCCCTGGGCATCCCCATGTCAACGTCCGTCCCCCACTATCTTCCAACTCCGTCGCTTCTAGTGATACGTCGTCACTGCCCCTATTGTCGTCGCCACCTGTCCGTCACGTCGTCCCGCCACTCCATCGTCAACGTCTCGGCTTCCCTTATGTACGTCGTCACTGCTATTCGTCTCGCCACTGTCGTCGACGTCGTCCGCCACTCTCCGGCGCGAACAGTCGGCTTCTATGTTACCGTTCGTCACTGCCCTATCGTCGTCGCCACTGTTCGTCAACGGTCGTCGCCACTATTCGTCACCACGTCGCTTCATATTTCCGCTCAGGTCACTGCCTATCGTCCCGCCCACTAGTGTAACGTCGCTTCGTATGTACGTCGTCATGCCCTTATCGTCGTCGCCACTGTCGTCAACGTCGTCGCCACTATCGTTCAACAGTCAGCTTCTATCGTACGTCCCCCCGTCACTGCCTATCGTCGTCGCCACTTGTCGTCAATTGTGCGTGCCACTGTCCGTCAAGTTTCGTCGCCCTTGTTCTGTCAACTATATAGGGTAGATTATAGTCTGTGACTGTGTTGCGTAGACTGGGTGGACAGCTCTGGCATCAGGTTCTACTACACCGATAAGCTGCGTCGCTATGACGCCGGCGTTATGGAGCTAGGGCTGGAGTACACGCCCAAGATGGCCATCCCTCCGCACATGAAACACTTCGACATCAAGGGAGATTGCATCATGGAATGCACGCGCGCGGTATGTACGTACTGTGATACGTGGTGGGGTGATGGGGTGATGGGGTGGTGAGTTGATGGGGTGATGGGGTGGTGGGTTAATCTGTAGAGTGATGGGTTGGTAGGAATTTGTGCTGGTGCATATATCTATACCTATCGCTTTTCGTTTATGTGCGTTCGTAACAATATAAACGGATAGACGGACAGAGGGACCGATGGACGGACGGACTACCGGACAGAACATGGAATAGACCAACAGATGGACAGACTGACGGACGGACAGATGGCCAGATAAGTCAACGGTCGTACGGACACACAGACTGACAAATAAAATTACCGACGGACGGGACACAGGAACGGATAAATAGAAGAACTTATAGACTCGGCAAACGGAAGGACGGACAGACGGCCAAACAACCTGACGGGATGACGAAAGGAATGACAGACCGATGAACAGACGGACTGGCTTAACGACAATCCCGCTCCAATCTCACGACAATGTCGTGAAAATCTCGCGACTATCTCGTGACAATCTCGTGACAATCTCGTGACAATCTCGCGACTATCTCGTGACTATCTCGTGACTATCTCGTGACAATCTCGTGACAATCTCGTGACAATCTCGTGACTATCTCGTGACTATCTCGTGACAATCTCGTGACAATCTCGTGACAATCTCGTGACAATCTCGTGTGTTTGCAGTCTCTGCCGGCGAAGGGTATTCACGTGTTCGCATCGCAGCTTCACACGCACCTGACGGGGCAGCGAGTCTGGACGAAGCATTCCCGTGACGGGGTCGAACTTGCCGAGTTGAACCGCGACAACCACTACAGCACGCACTTCCAGGAGATCCGCCTGCTCAAGCGACAGGTGCACGTGCTTCCCGTAAGTATGGAGCCTCTCTCTCTCTCTCTCTCCTCTCTCATTTCTCTCGTCTCTCTCTTCTCTCGCTCTCTCTCTCTATCTCTTTCACTCTGCTCTCTCCTTCTCTCTCTCTCTCCTCTCTCTCTCTCTGTCTGTCTCTCATCTCCGGGCTGCCCCTCCAATCTCTCTCTTCTCTCATCTCCTCTCTCTCGTCTCTTCTCTCTTCCCCCCGCTCGCTTCCTTGAGCGGCGCTCTTTCTCTCTACTCTCTCTCGTACTTCGTCCCACTCACTCCGTCCCTCCGTCCTCATCCATTCACCCATATCATCTCCCGCTTCCCGTCGTGCGGGAGGTAGTGTAGAGAGGAGAGAGTATGGACGACAACAGACTAGAGATAGCACAGAAAGAACCGCGCCGCGCCGGTTATGTGTACTGGTGCCGTTTTGTGTGCGTGCGATTGCCGTCGTGTGTGGTTCCTGCGCGCGTGCGTGCGTGCGTGCGTGCGTGCGCTTGCGCGCGTGGGAGAGAGAGATGAGAGACAGAAATAGTAAACGGGACAAGGCAGAAAAAAGAGCGAGCGAGAAAGACAGAGCCTAGAGGGTGGTGAGGAGGGGGTGACGCCTGATTAGATGCATTAGATGTGAGATGAAGAGCGGATGGACGGGCGCAACCACTAATGTACGCTATATACTCATAATACACACTATAAACGGGCGGGAAGTCGGAAAACGAGACAAATAGTAACCGATCAATAGATATAACTGGAGAGAGCGTAAGGGAACAAGATCAATGGTAAAGAAAATGAGAATGTTTTTTTGTGAGAGGAGGATAATATACCTGTTATTACCAAGGCGTATAGAACAATTACTAAAACAACTGAGTATAAGAGGTACACAGCAAGAATGCAATGCTCTATAGTTCTCCCAATAGATAGCAAGCTAGTCTGTGTATTAACCTGGCAGAGTTGACATGCGTATTTACTAAAGTGATGACATTTAGTGGCGTGTTTGCATTCCAGGGAACGCCCTCGTGACGTCTGCGAATACACACACAGAAGACCGCACTAAACTCACCTATGGTAACCGGACAACGCCGTCCAACCCCCCACGCACAACACCGAGCCACCCGACCGACCATCACACATGAATTTAATGGCCGATCAACATACATACTTACCCGGTTTTAATATTCTATTCCATCTTTTGAATTTATACATACACATTCCCCCCCCCACCCGCCGGCAGAGAAGTCGGATTCGCTGTCAGCAATCTCACTGCTCTCTGCTGCTCACACACTCTTCGTGCCACACTCGCGCCCTTCTACGCTCGCGCACGAGCAGCACCGCGTTTAAAACGCACCGAGACACCTCGCAACCTACGACCACTTACACATACGCATAGAGCCACGCCACCCTCCCCCCCCACCCCCACGCGCCCTGCAGTTCGTCGTCTTACCTACTACTCGACATCGTCCGCCACGCGTCCCCCCCCCTGCACTACACACTCCCTCCTCAACAACGTTTTACCCTTCCACGCGCTTCTCTACTCATCACCTGTCTCACACCCCACCTGCTTACCCGTTATCGACGCGAGTCGGCAAACGTTAAAACATTTGACACGCAGTGTGCGCGCGGGGCGAACGTCGGATCACGTCTATTTGCCACGTATTAATTTCGTGCTCGCTAAGCGTGCCGCCGATAGCGAAAAACGCGCTCCCTCTCCCGCGATAGAGGGAAACCATTCCCAATCCTCCCCAATACTCCTACACCCCCAGCACGCTCGCGCCTCGCGTCGCGCACAAAAAAATTTGATCAACTCGCTGACCAAAAAATTAACGCGAATTAAACATGTTCTAATCTCTCAACTAGAGAAAGCCTCGATCAATTCGGACAAACTTTCAGCAACGAAAGTTGATAGTGTAAACCCAGCTTACTCTCCCTACTCCGACCACCGCCCGCCCCGCTACATCGGCTCGATTGGCCCACCCAGCGGCCCACATTAGTTGATGTAAATTGTTGGCGTTCGTTCGTCGCAGAAACACGCGAGACGCCGATTCTCGCGCCAGGGTTGTAGAGCGAGGTTGCCGGGTGGCGACGACGTTTGACAACTGTGGGCAACGACGTTGCCGACAGTGGCGACGACGATAGGCAGTGACGACGTACATAGAAGCGACGTTGTCGACAGTGGCGACGACGTTGAAGACAGTAGCGACGATAGGCAGTGACGAAGTACATAGAAGCGACGTTGCCGACAGTGGCGACGACGATAGGCAGTGACGACGTACATAGAAGCGACGTTGTCGACAGTGGCGACGACGTTGAAGACAGTAGCGACGATAGGCAGTGACGAAGTACATAGAAGCGACGTTGCCGACAGTGGCGACGACGATAGGCAGTGACGACGTACATAGAAGCCGACATTGTCGACAGTGGCGACGACGTTGACGACAGTAGCGACGATAGGCAGTGACGAAGTACATAGAAGCGACGTTGCCGACAGTGGCGACGACGATAGGCAGTGACGACGTACATAGAAGCGACGTTGACGATAGTGGTGACGATGTTGGGCGACAGTAGCGACGATAGGCAGTGACGAAGTACATAGAAGCGACGTTGCCGACAGTGGCGACGACGATAGGCAGTGACGACGTACATAGAAGCGACGTTGACGATAGTGGTGACGATGTTGGCGACAGTAGCGACGACGATAGGCAGTGACGACGTACATAGAAGCGACGTTGCCGACAGTGGCGACGCGACGATATATAGGCAGTGACGACAAGTTGTTGAATCTTGCGGAAAGTTATTGCGCGGATAGTTGCGGAATTCAATCTCTCATTCATGCACTAAAACTTTGCATATACAGTCAAAACATGGTGGTTGAACGGAGAGGGGGGAAGTGGTGGTGTGTGAAATATAGCGCGCGCGTGCGTGCGTGCGTGCGTCTCTCTTGCAGGGAGGCTGGGGCATACGGGACGAGATGTGTGTGAACTACGTGCATTACTACCCGCGAGTCTCGCTCGAGGTGTGCAAGAGCTCGATCGACAGCGACGTGCTGCAAAGTTACTTCAACTTCATGCACTAGTGAGTAGTTTTTTGTTATTTTTGTTTGGTTCTGGTGTGAGATGGGTGGGGGGTTGATTATTAGAGATCTTAGAGAAACTGTAAATGTAGAGGCTGATAATAAAAAAAATCCTGATGTTCCTAATAATAATAAGGCGGATGTAACACTACTAAAACCTAAATCAGCCACTAGATGGCGATATCTGCCATGATATTCACAACTATATGACTAATCTCTATCTCATATTTATATAATATAGGCCTATATATATATGAAACGGGGTTTTGTATAAATTATACTTTTAATTTATAGAGCAAATGCCCAACAGTATTTTAGCATAAAAAATCTCTATCCAAGTTTGCCACTTTATGAATCATAATTATAAGACTTGTGTTTGCGCTCGTCCATTATATACTAAATGAAACAATATTTAGTTGAAATTATACTTTTAATATAGATAGGACATATCCCTTACAGTAGTATGATATTAAAACTAGATCTCTGTCTCTCGCTTTAATTATAATAAGGTGCCCAGGTTTTCCTAACGTTAATGATTACCGCTCCTGCTCGTAACGGCCGCTAGGGCCTACTCACCAGAGCGTTAACCTCTTACTATATGAACGTGGGTGGCTGCTGCCAGAATCAAAACGGCCCAATCAGCGAGCAGTCCTTTGCTTGACGTCATTTCCGTCAACATTTCAACTGCAATAACTATATTTATAATAGTTTATAATAGTTTATATTAGTTTTATCTTGGTTTTATAATAGTTATAATAATATAATTTATAACTGTAAAAATGCATGCTAAT